CTATCTGATTACAGTATAACCCTATCTCATTACAGTATAATCCTATCTGATTACAGTATAACCCTACCTCATTACAGTATAATCCTATCTGATTACAGTATAACCCTATCTGATTACAGTATAGCTCTATCTGATTACAGTATAATCCTATCTGATTACAGTATAACCCTATCTGATTACAGTATAACCCTACCTCATTACAGTATAACCCTATCTGATTACAGTATAACCCTATCTCATTACAGTATAACCCTATCTCATTACAGTATAACCATATCTCATTACAGTATAACCCTATCTGATTACAGTATAACTCTATCTGATTACAGTATAACTCTGATTACAGTATAACCATGTCTCATTACAGTATAACCCTATCTGGTTAGAGTATAACTCTATCTCATTACAGTATAACCCTTTCTGATTACAGTATAACCCTATCTCATTACAGTATAATCCTATCTGATTACAGTATAACCCTACCTTATTACAGTATAATCCTATCTGATTACAGTATAACCCTATCTTATTACAGTATAACCCTATCTGATTACAGTATAACTCTATCTGATTACAGTATAACTATCTGATTACAGTATAACTCTATCTGATTACAGTATAACCCTATCTCATTACAGTATAATCCTATCTCATTACAGTATAACCCTACCTCATTGCAGTATAATCCTATCTGATTACAGTATAACCCTATCTGATTACAGTATAACCCTATCTGATTACAGTATAACTATATCTGATTACAGTATAACCTTATCTGATTACAGTATAACCCTATCTGATTACAGTATAACCCTATCTGATTACAGTATAACCCTATCTGATTACAGTATAACCCTACCTCATTACAGTATAACTCTACGGTCCAAACTATATCCTCTATCACTATGACCATTACTGACACAATATAATCAATTGTAGTTAAATCATCTTCTATAACACTCTAAGTCACGAAGAAGACACATCTATTTAGTAATGATACCTATCATTCAAGTTAGGTTTTTTTTTCAGTACTGATTTACCTGAAGTGATACGATACACCAGGTTCATATCCTCCACGTCCGTACACCCTAGATTTTGAAGCGTGGTTGCTGCTGCTGTCGTCTCCGACATTGTCGCTGTGAACGTGACCTGAGCACACACCTGAACATTTTCCAAAAAAAATATCAAAATGAAAAAGGAAGTACAAAAAATATATACTGGAAACTTATGATAATTGACAACCAATTTTTTGTATATAATAAGGATCCCCTTGCAGCTGCCAAAAGCTATGCATTGGAAACAGCTTTTTGTGTTTTTTTGGTTTACAACAACTTCTGAGTATGGGAAGTTATTGGACAGCTAAGCTCAATCTCTTAACTGGGTGTCTAAACCGACCCCTGTCTAATCCGGATCCCTGTCTAAACCGGCTGTGATGTCATGACTATATCATTTCCGAAAAGAAAATCATACCTTGCAGGACTTTTATGCAAAATGATAAAGTATAAAGATGAAATAAACAAAATCTAACCAAGTGTTGCACGGCCCAGACCAGGATTCCATCCCTGGCTCACGGATTGTTATACTGTTAATCTAACCAACAGTGTTGTACAGGCCTAGACCAGGATTCCATCACTGGCTCACTGATTGTTATACTGTTAATCTAACCAACAGTGTTGTACAGGCCTAGACCAGGATTCCATCCCTGGCTCACTGATTGTTTTACTGTTAATCTAACCAACTGAGTTTCCAGGTCAAAACGACACAGGCTACCACGCTACTCCCCCATCTGATATTATTGAGACACCTTCCTGCAGCTGACCGACATTTTCTGACCCTATGATGCTTAAAATTCTGTAGCTTTACTCTACCACATTCAACACTGTTCCAAGTTGCCCCCTTCCCTTTCCCAACCCCCACATCCCACACCCACACCCAATCTCAATCAGTTGGCCAGGCTACGGACATGACTTGTGATAATATATACCGGAGTATTGTCGTTGACGTTGTTGACATCAATGGTGACGGTACTTGTGGCTGTCTTAGCTGGCGAGATATCTAAATCGTACACCTCAATCTCAATGGTGTGTTGAATGGCTGTCTCAAAGTCGAGGGGCTCAAACAGAGTTATGGTTCCTGTGGTGATGTCAATAGAAAACTTGCTGGAATCTGCTCCCGCTGTAAATGAAATAATACATTTTACAACAGGAGGCACATCAGCCTTAACAAAATGATAACTGATACAGTGTTAAGTTAATCTAATTTCAAATGAATAAAACAACAAAGGGGGAGGGAGGGGGGGAGGGGGTAAAAGTCCCCCAATGTTGGGCAGAGTGCGGGCTAAGAAGGATTTCCCTAAAGTTTGGGTTCATCCACCAACAACATTGAGATATGCCATTTGAAGGTTTATGATAAATAAATGCGTTATTAAATGCATGACTGAGGCACGGTAGTCTAGTGGTAGGACGCCGGGCTCGTGACCGAAGGGTTACATGTTCGAGTCACGGCACTGTGTTGTATCTTTGAGCAAGATACTTACTCCGCTTGTTCCAGTCTACTCAGCAGTAAATGAGTATGTGGTTTGGCAGTGCTAAAATTGTAGAATGCTAGCTGTGAGCGCCGAAATGGCAGCTCCGGCTGTATGCTCCCCAGGAAGTTGAGGAAGGTATTGGCTGGTTGCAAAAGCCATATAACCACGGATAATAATTTGTGAACCACTTTGAGGCCACCTACGAACTAGGTTGTGATAAAGCGGTATATAAGAACCTCGAATTAATATTATAAGAACCTCAAATTATTATCACAAGCCAAGTTAAAAATCTGAAGAATTCCAAGACAAGAAATTCACTCAAATATTATTTTAATGAAAGCAAGGAGAAGCTGATGAAACACTTTAGGATATACTGTACACCATCCTTGAAATTCAGAGGGTTATGCTTGTTTATGTTCTCTTCACCACTGGAGTATGTCATCGCAAAAACAAAGTCACACACTTACCTATTTCATCAGTTGCAGGTAATTAAACCTGACCAATCGCTAGGCTGATACATGTCCTGTGAAGATTACAGAGGACCAACACTGACTTCTAAGCTAGTCAATTTTACTGCTATGCTGCAGCATGATTCTTTTGCTGTACTTCAAAGGATCAAACTAGTGATCTTGGATCAAAATCAAAGTGGCGTATACAGAGCCTCCGATTTCATCATGACATATTCCAGGGGGCATAGAATGTAAGAGGGCATAACCCCTCGAATTTCAAAGAAGGACTTACACTGACAACAAATAAAACCCTAACATTGATAACAAAAATACCTCACCCAGTATAGAGCAGTATGTCGACTGGAAGTTGAATGACTCCAGCAGGTCGAAGTCGTACGGGTTAGCCTGCGCCACTAGAGCCCCCCGCGCCACGTTCTCGTCCACAGTGACCGTGTAAGGGCCACCAAAGAACCCTGGGTCATTGTCGTTGGCACTCAGCACAAATACATTCACGGTTATACTGAGGCTGAGAGGGGGTGTTCCTCCGTCACTTACCAAAACAATCAACTGCAAACAAAAGAAATATTTATAGTTACACAGACATTTGAATTAGGAAGTTAATGTAAGGTTTGCATTTTCTTAAATGTCTATGCATTAAAGGAAATTTGCTCTGCACTTGGAACACTGTACACTTCAAATGATCTCACTTGTTAATCACACAATGATCAAAGGGCTATGGCGTAATGTCTTCAGCATCCCAACCTCAGTCAATTAAAATTGATTTTCATCTTTAATGCTACTAACCTTACACAGTTTACCCATTATTTGTGTTAAATACATGTTCTATATTACATGTTAAAGATCTAATTTGTGTTAAGGGTATATGCTACAATGAACCAAATATTTGTGTATAGACTACCGGTAATACTTCTGATTTGTGTTAAAGGTATATTCTACCTTTATACATATTGAACCCATGATTTGTGTAAAGATACATATACTACTTCAGACTTGTATTAAGGGTGTATGCTACCTTACATGTAGAACTCAATGATTTGTGTACAAGTACCCCAAGTAAGATTTGTGTTAAGGGTGTATGCTACCTTACAAAGTTTACCCATGATTTGTGTTAAGGGTGTATGCTACCTTACAAAGTTTACCGATGATTTGTATCAAGGGTATATGCTACCTTACATGTAGAACTCAATGATTTGTGTACAAGTACCCCAAGTAAGATTTGTGTTAAGGGCATATGCTACCTTACATGTTATACCTGTGATTTGTGTTAAGGGTATATGCTACCTTACATGTTATACCTGTGATTTGTGTTAGAGTTATCTCTCTTTTCATGTTTAAACTGATATTATCAAATACTTATATTGATGCAAAAATCAAATGTGTCATCAATGCACTATCCAAGTCCCACCATTCATAAGATATTCTTTTCACATGATTTACTGTAGAACTATTCTATAAAGGAGATGCATGCTACCATTAGCCTAATAGGTTACTGTTCACCTTTAAAAATAATATCAATAACAATTTTTCAGTGGAATAATTAAGTAATATAACATCTTGGATCACATAGCAAAACTTACATTTGCATCTTTCCTTGCTTCACACCTGTATATGTTGAGTAATTAACATGTTTGGTAATCACTGCTTGGTAATCGTTTTTCTAACAATCGCTTCAGTATATATTTGGCCTTCAAATTGTGTCTATTTCCTAACTGTCTTTAAGCCCTTGTGGATTTCCCCCTGATATACACTTCTTGCTAATCCAATACTTTTTATCATAAAGTTTATTTATTTCCAAACCTGGAATATATGGAGCAAGAGTTACTGATGTAATTTGCATTGAGTGGGGGAAAAACGGTACAACGCCCTATCTGATCAATCCAGAGTTATTGGTTCATTTTCAAAAATGTTTTTTTTTTTTTGTTTTTTTTTCATTTCCTTCAGCAATAGACGAACTAAATACTTACACTATACGCCCTCGTAAAGCCGTCGTAGTCCAACGCTAAGTCCAGAGTAAGAACCCCGGCGGTAGTCAGACTAAACATTGCGTCGCCATTACCACTGGTGATGGTAAATGAGAGCGTCCCGTCGGCGCCGGTGTCGACGTCGGCGCAATTTAGAGTGAGGTCGACGACCGTCGTTCCCGTAATGGTTGTTTCCGACAAGTTGATGATGTCGGTCGTGGTGGTGCATGCCGGGGCGGTGTTGGCACCTGTAACTATGGTTACGACAAAGGTCGAGAGGACAGAGCACAGGTGATTGCGAACCAGAATTTCGTAATAAAAAACACATGCATGTATAATCTGCATGCTGCAAGGTATCTTTTGAAAAAGAACGATAAATTGACTTCAGTAAAAAGGTGCTCAATTTGATGAAAGCTTTGTTATCAAAATATTTCTTATTGGAATAATTTAATTCAGTTGTAACAAAACGTTCTCTTGGTCAGCATTGTCAAACCATTTAGTTATCCTTTTATATGATTTTCACCAAACGATCTTCGGCGAGTTTGATAGTGGAGATCAGATAATCAAATGCTTTATACGTGAGGAGTGTAGCCTTCTTGGGGATCAACACCCATTACAGACAGTGTTGGAACACTTTCAATTAATCTCAAGTTTCTCAACAAAGTTTAACCAAACGTTTGACAAATGATCCTTCCTGAATGTGTTTGCTTATCATCTTGTAATTTCAATTCCAAAGATGGCTGCATGCCCTACAATTGTTTGTTTTCAAGTAATTATAAGTTCCAACAGACGATTGCTATTTGGTACATCATCTTGGTTTGAATATTTATCCTCTCATATTCTGAATAAAAACAGGAGTTCTTGTTTTTTAAGGTTAATTGGAAAAGTCGCCATCATGACCAAAATTGTGTACATATGTTCCTCTATCGCCTTAGTGAAGTGTTACTACAATTGTGTGACCCAATAACAAAGGAAGGATATTTAAAATTATCTTAAGTTTTTGTAAATACTTCAGATAACAAATAAAACTAGAGGAGCGATACAAGCCCATCGGACAATATCAATATATAAAAATGTTTTCATTTAAACAAACTCGTTTAAGTTAAATCATTATCTTATTTTCACATATTAAGAAATACATCCGCGACATCGATATTTTCTGCGTGTAGCAGATATTTATTCCAATTCCAAATGCGTTTCAGACCTTCGAAGTTTAAAATTCGACGCAAGTAGCTACCATTCTCCCCACAAGTCATTAAAAAAACACGCTTACATAATCTCAGTCATAACGACACATGCTTCGATTGTTGGTACTGAGGTATTGTAGTTGCTTCTACTTTTGAATGAGCGAAATTCCTCGATTTTAATAAATTCTAGTTCTTCCTGGAGAATACAGATCTACTTGCATGAGTATGACAATACTAGGACTAACAGGATGGAATATGTGGTAATATAAAAAATTTTTTAAATGCCTACAACTTGATATAAACACCTGTACAGGTGAGAGATTATGTCGTTACACAGGTTAAGGTATAATGTCAAGATTAGCCTGTGCGGTGTTAGTGATGATATGGCTAGACATTAAATGGTTATAAAAGTCAGGTGCTTGCCGCAACTGTGTTATTGAATCAATGACGATCAAAACAGTCATCAGAATGTTTTGTGGCCGAAATCTTGCGTAGTCTCCTGCAGATGTCTATTGGGTAAAACCTGACTTGCTGAATCATGTACCAGTAAACGGGGTTACTAACGTGGGCCACCCTGCAGAACTGGGTTTAACAAGAATACAAATGACAGTCGGGGTCGGTCCGTTTTCACAGTCAAACAGCATGTGATGACGTATAATTTGTAATTGAGAGTCATAGCAGCTTGATCGGGAAATTCAGCTGAATTCCACACAGGGGCATCACATTTATAGTGCGTAGTCACCTGACACATGTGTATAAATTGATCCTAGCATTATTGTGAAGAACTGGCGTCCTGCATGCAAAAGTCTGATTTTAATATTTAGTTAACAGAAAGTATTCCTAAATATACGCCACATTGCATGTGATAAAAACTGTAAAGACGGTTAAGAATATCTTTGTACATGTACGCTCATGTGTGATTTAAAACTCTACAAAAGAGTCATGATATAAGTCTACATATATATAGCGGGATAAGAATAAAAGAAAGAGAAGAGTTTCTTCAATATGTCTAAAGTAAAATAGCAAAAACAAAGCCTTTAGTGTAAGTTAGGGTCGTTAGAACTTGTTTTTGATTGCTCTTCATTTTCGTAAGAACCACGTCTGGAATTTGCTAAATTTTAATTGAGTATAAATGATACCTAATTATACAGAATTAGATAATGGAACGGTTGCTCCGATCTCTTCTGAGAGCTTGCCACTTCACAAACTTCAGACAGTCTACACACAGTTACTTAATGGTCAAATAATTAATGTACAAGGGTTTCAAAGAGATTGGTCCGTCTTTGGTGCAGTCCCTCATTTACTGGAGAAACCCTCAAAATGTAGGTTTCCTTATTTCCTGTGAATATCAAAATAGCTTGCCCTGTGTATCGGCAGATCGGTGCTCATTGTTCTACCCCTTTTCGGGTCATACTTAATAAATTTGGATATTGACTTAGTTCTGCATTGCAAATCAGGATGGTATCAATAATGTAGTTGTCAGGTCCTTGTGGGTATAGCTAACGCCAATATTTGCGATGGCACAAGAACCTGCTTTAACTAAATCGTGGTGTTCAATAGCTCTAGACTGAATCATCACAAGTTCGTGTTGTACCTGTGTTTACTGTTGTACCTGTGTTTACTGTTATACCTGTTTTTACTGTCGTACCTGTGTTTACTGTTGTATCTGTGTTTTCTGTTGTACCTGTGTTTACTGTTGTACCTGTGTTAACTGTTATACCTGTGTTTACTGTTGTACGTGTGTTTACTGTTCTATCTGTGTTTACTGTTGTACCTGTGTTTATTGTCGACCTGTGTTTACTGTTGTGTCTGTGTTTACTGTCGTACATGTGTTTACTGTTGTACCTGTGTTTACCGTCGTACCTGTGTTTACTGTTGTGTCTGTGTTTACTGTTGGACCTGTGTTTACTGTCGTACCTATGTTTACTGTCGTACCCGTGTTTACTGTTGTACCTGTGTTTACTGTCGTACATGTGTTTACTGTCGTACATGTGTTTACTGTCGTACCTGCGTTTACTGTTGTACCTGTGTTTACTGTCGTTCCTATGTTTACTGTCGTACCTGTGTTTACTGTCGTACCTGTGTTTACTGTCGTACCTGTGTTTACTGTCGTACCTGTGTTTACTGTTGTACCTGTGTTTACCGTCGTACCTGTGTTTACTGTTGTGTCTGTGTTTACTGTTGTACCTGTGTTTAGTGTTATACCTGTGTTTACTGTTGTACATGTGTTTACTGTTGTGTCTGTGTTTACTGTTGTACCTGTGTTTACTGTTATACCTGTGCTTACTGTCGTACCTGTGTTTACTGTTGTACCCGTGTTTACTGTTGTACCAGTGTTTACTGTCGTACATGTGTTTACTGTTATACCTGTGTTTACTGTTGTACACGTGTTTACTGTCGTACCTGTGTTTACTGTTGTATCTGTGTTTACTGTTGTATCTGTGTTTACTGTTGTACCCGTGTTTACTGTTGTACCTGTGTTTACTGTTGTACCTGTGTTTACTGTTGTACCTGTGTTTCCTGTTATACCTGTGTTTACTGTTGTACCTGTGTTTACTATCGTACCTGTGTTTACTGTTATACCTGTGTTTACTGTTGTTCCACGTGTTTACTGTCGTACCTGTGTTTACTGTTGTGTCTGTGTTTACTGTCGTACCCGTGTTTACTGTCGTACCTGTGTTAACTGTCGTACCTGTGTTTAGTGTCGTACCTGTGTTTACTGTTGTACCTGTGTTTACTGTCGTACCTGTGTTTACTGTCGTGCCTGTGTTTAGTGTCGTACCTGTGTTTACTGTTGTGTCTGTGTTTACTGTTGTACCTGTGTTTACTGTTGTACCCGTGTTTACTGTTGTACACGTGTTTACTGTCGTACCTGTGTTTACTGTTGCATATGTGTTTACTGTCGTATCTGTGTTTACTGTTGTGTCTGTGTTTACTGTTGTGTCTGTGTTTACTGTCGTGCCTGTGTTTACTGTCGTGCCTGTGTTTACTGTTTGTGTCTGTGTTTACTGTCTTACCTGTGTTTACTGCCGTACCTGTGTTTACTGGTGTGTCTGTGTTTACTGTTGCATATGTGTTTAGTGTCGTATCTGTGTTTACTTTTGTACCTGTGTTTACTGTTGTGTTGTACCTGTGTTTCCTGTTGTGTCTGTGTCTGCTGTTGTGTCTGTGTTTCCTGTTGTGTCTGTGTCTGCTGTTGTGTCTGTGTTTCCTGTTGTACCCGTGTTTACTATTGTACCCGTGTTTACTGTTGTTCCTGTGTTTACTGTCGTATCTGTGTTTACTGTTGTACCTGTGTTTACTGTTGTATCTGTGTTTACTGTTGTACACGTGTTTACTGTTGTATCTGTGTTTACTGTTGTACCTGTGTTTACTGTTGTGTCTGTGTTTACTGTTGTTCCACGTGTTTACTGTCGTACCTGTGTTTACTGTTGTATCTGTGTTTACTGTTGTTCCTGTGTTTACTGTTGTGTCTGTGTTTACTGTTGTTCCACGTGTTTACTGTTGTACCTGTGTTTACTGTTGTAACTGTGTTTACTGTTATACCTGTGTTTACTGTCGTATCTGTGTTTACTGTCGTATCTGTGTTTACTGTTGTAACTGTGTTTACTGTTATACCTGTGTTTACTGTTGTATATGTGTTTACTATTGTATCTGTGTTTACTGTCGTACCTGTGTTTACTGTTGTACCTGTGTTTACTGTTGTACCTGTGTTTACTGTTGTACCCGTGTTAACTGTTGTACCTGTGTTTACTGTCGTACCTGTGTTTACTGTTGTACCCATGTTTACTGTCGTACCCGTGTTAACTGTTGTACCTGTGTTTACTGTTGTATCTGTGTTTACTGTCGTACCTGTGTTTACTGTCGTACCTGTGTTTACTGTTGTACCTGTGTTTACTGTTGTACCTGTGTTTACTGTTGTACCTGTGTTTACTGTTGTACCTGTGTTTACTGTTGTACCTGTGTTTACTGTTGTACCTGTGTTTACTGTTGTACCTGTGTTTACTGTTGTACCTGTGTTTACTGTTGTACCTGTGTTTACTGTTGTACCTGTGTTTACTGTTGTA